CAGAATTTGTGTCAGAGGCTTTTAAGGTAACGAGACGACGACGGCGAGTCAAAAACTCATGAGCGTTCCCGAAGGATTATAGCCGAGGACAATGAAGACTGACTCTCTCTATCTCCTCGTTTCCATAAAGTGACACTTCGTCCGTCCGAACTAATTACTTTCGGCTTAAAATCCTTAATTTGTTGCTGAAAGGCCGTTCTCGGGAAAGATCGTCCCTTCTCGATGAAGTCTTTCTTTGTTCGATGCGCCCTGTAAACCCGCCGCTCGGGACGATAATTGATTCTGAAATCATTAAGAACCGCAAGAAAAAAAACATACACAAAGTCAAGATTCAGCAAGCATTAGATGGAAATATATAAGCAGTGTTTCCTAATTACATCTTGAACACACACATACTCAGAATAATATATCTCAAAACTGTCAACTGTGTTTTCAAGATTATTAATAACGCTGTCCGAACAAAAACTGTAAGATTTCTGAAATTAATTTTTGTTCTCGTATAAATTTTTTATTTTTGTTAAATTGTTGAGACAAGTAACTGATTCAAAAAAAAAAAAAAAATAAGAAAAACAACTTTACGTGATAAAATTTACAATTATTGCCTAGATAATAAATTTCTCGAATATACTTTTGACAAAGACACCGAAAGTATTTCGCTTAGCTTACACTTTAACCGAGCTAAGTGTATAATAATCGTTACGAGAAATATATAATAAATGTATGTATATATGTATATATATATATATATATGAAAAACGGTATATTCAGCCGCGCGGCTGACATGAATCTTGATAAAATTCTCCGTTATCTCCGACAGCCTGGAAATTAGCCTTGCGCCCAGACGACTCCTGGCACGCTGGGAAGAAGGAACCCGGTCTGATATTGAATTGTTTCTGCACCCTTTCCTGTAACACATCGGGAAAGGCAACAGATGTACCTGATACATATTCATATCCGCTGTTCGTGACTGCGTGTTATTGTTACTGCTATTATTGTACGATTTGCCCGAAACCATTCTGCGCAAATTAAAAGAAATTGTGTAAAAAACTTAATGTAACAAGTGTATATTAAAAATAATTAACAATATTTCTTCCACCAAACAATACAAACTTCTCTCTCCAATATATATGATGTACGTATTTATTTTATCTTTCTGACATTATTTTTCTCTGTGAGAGAAATTTGTGATACATTTTTTTTTTTAAGTAAAACTAAATCAAAAGATACTTTGTAAAATTGTTGAGACCAATAGAAGTTCAACGCACACATTGTTTGTTTGTGACACACACGTTTATACAGTTTTGTATAAAGAACGAAAAATTTGAAACTACACACAAAAAATGTTTCGATTTTTTTCAACTTTGAAGAAGCGCGCGTTTTGCAACGCGATTATTCGTTGGACGCGCGCGATATCGTCACATCTCGCCTCGTAAAAGTTCGCACAGAAGCAGCACACATAGCAGCCGCAGTGAAAACTGAAAGCTTTCTCTCGGTGTGGCTTTATGCCGGCGATAAATTTTTATTTTTATTGTCGTTGCAATTTTCGACGTGACTACGTCTCTCCTATCATCATAGTGCCGATTTAACGTGCGCGCGCACACGCAATCTAAAAGAAAATACTTTCTTTTCAGCTTGTGTGCAAGAGTTTTACATCTTCCGGGAACAATATAATATACACGCGTTTTTATGGAATAACAAAATAAGCAAACGCAAGTGTATAAAAACAAATAAAATATAATTTTCAATATATATTCTGAAATATTTATTTTTCTCCGAGAAATGTAAAAACCGTAAAAAATTACTGATCTTCTCAGAAAATAAGTATGAAACTGACGCAGATTTCTCCAACGCGATTTCTTTGCTGTGCTGAAAACTGACTGTTTTTTGTGTGAGTTCCTCTATTACTACAGGAAACAACAAAACGCGTCGGGTCAGTATTACGGGATATCTATTACTTCGACGACCACTTCGACACCGAGTTTCACGCGAACGCGATACTTGAGATGAGTTATTGCCGCGGCTCTTTATTAAAGACTAATACGCGCGCGAGAGCACAGCGGGTCTCTTCCGAGTGACTCCCGAGAATCCCTTAATCCGCGCGATCTATTATCTCGTACCGGAGCTATACTAGGGTGAGAATTAGCTTTCTCTCCTCTCAACCCGCGTTCCTCTCGTATACGATTGCGGTTGAGTTATTGCCGAGTATACCTGGAGTCGCAGCGAGCCACTAACGCAACGCCGTAAAGCCGACGCACAAATGTTTCCCCGATAATTCCACGGCGTGGAATTACTTAAAATAATGAGATTCGATGCCGCGTATCATCCTCGATGATACGCGGCACAAAGAAGCGATTCTCTGGTTTCGTGAGATGTCAAAAAATTAAAAAGAAAGAAAAAAAAAAAGAACGTAGAGTGTGAGAGAGAGAAAATGTCGAAGGGAAGCGAAGAAATCTTTGCGTTATCTCGAGCGTGTCGCGCGAAGAATCCTCCTTTTTCTTCTATTTTTTTCTTCTTCTTCTTTTCTTCTTTTGATTTTATATTCCATCCTTTTTCTACATCGAAGAACAGCTATTCCGCGCTTTATCTATGAATTATTCATGAAAGAAGACGTAAAACTTTATGACGTATACACGGCTTGATGGTGGCGTACAGCGCCACGCAGAAATCGGCGAGAATCTATTATACACTTTTTAATTAGACACTGCCGAATCTGATGGATGGGATATATCCGCAGGGACCCTCTTCGTCATCCGACGAGGGAAGCCTCTTATCGTGGGGAGAAATCGCAGGAGAAGTGAAAGTACATAGCCATGTATATAACAAAAAAAATTGTACATACACGTATTACGTTCATATATATCTTGATAATTATGTAACATAATGACGTACTTCTTCTTAAGAAAAATCACATCGCGTATTTCGCACGCAGAAATAAATCTGAAAACCTATTATAACAAAAACTATTTGCGAAAAACAAAATAGATTTTAATAATAATAAATTTTTATAGTTGTGCGTGTTCGATGAACATTTAATAATCTAAAAGTTTTGTGTGCGTGTTCGATAAACATAATTTAATAATCCAAAGAAAAATAGTTGCGAAGAGATTCTTGGATTGTGTACCGCAACTTTGGGGTGCAAAAATGTATTTAAAAACATTGACAAGTGGCGCCGCTACGCCTACACGTTTTCGATTAGTCCGTACAATCTGATCGGATGCAAAACAACGCAACTTGAAGACAAACAAGAGGAAGACAGACGGAGAAAGAAAGAGAGAAGGAAAGAAAAGTAACAGAGTGAGTAAACTTGCGAGATAATCGGGACTATATTATAAGATACTTACAAGGGGTAGAGAATAATCGACGAATATATACTTTTTCGCGTACGTTGATGTATGGCTTTTCGACGCCGCCGGCGTTTTATGGAGGCGATTTAATCGAGACGATATAATAGATGAAAAGAAATATGTGGTATACGATCAATCGATGTTTTCTCGAACGCTTTTTGTACAACACCAACTGCTTTGTGTTCACTTATTCACTTCGTATCACGTGCTCACATCTTGAGATTGTGATTACAGCACGAGTACGAGACGTTGTTTGTTATTGTGTGAACTTATTATACGCACTGTTTAATATAAAAACAATAATTTGTATTACAAAAATTAATTCGATAATTTTCGTAATACGCTTGCTGCAAAAAAATATATTTTTTCCAAGAGTCAAAACTTAAAGACGAATCAAATAAGATCGCGTATGGTTTTAAACAGGCGAGGAAGAATCCGACAAAGAGCGCGATGTCAATGCACAATATACGTTAAACGGCGACGGATTCGAACAAGCGCAACCCTTACGTCGTCATGGTGCAATAGTCGTTGCTAGGAGGTGTTTGTAGTAAGGGTCCGCACCCTAAGGTGGCTTTCATTCACAAAACTCACTCAATCCTCATTTAATGAGATGCATACGTTTTTTCTTGAAGACTTGTTGAAAAAAAACACTTTTACGTGAAGATACGTTTTTCGATAAAGTTGAGAAATTAATAAAATGTGTGAAAAACTAAAGATAGAACTGTGTTTAGTCCCATTTTGTTTATATTTTGTTTACGTTGCACGATCTCGATAATCTTTCGATAAATAAAACTAGATCTAGATGATGATAATTCCGATTTGTTAAAATATATCAAATCTCTCTTATATGCTAACTGCGAAGAGACAAGCTGCGTCAGCGTAACGGGATTGTATTTCCGTGGCTCTCGCGTCGGATTCTTCCACAAAGAAAACGCGTATTGGCGTTTTTAAGAAGAATAGCGTCGACTTCGAATAATATCCGAATATTGAGGCACTGTGCGAGGACTGTTGCGGTCGTAAAACAGAACTGATATGAATACGGATAGCTCAATTTTCCACGCTTACGCCTAACCGAAGTTCGGACCTGCCAATTTTTTTTTCCTCCTTTTCTCATCGTCCATCATGCGTCACTTTAATTGATCGCATCTATCAATTTCAGATATGGTACAAAGAGAAGGAGTAAAATATTAAACTGGTGGACGAAAACAACGAGCTTTTTCTCGCTCCCTGTTAAAATTGAGAGTGTTTTTTTTTTGTAGACGTTGAAGTGCCGAATTCGATTTCGAAATTATCGCATCAAGATTTGATGAAAATTTTATGACAGGTAAAAGTATTTCCAAAATGGCAATAATTTCTAAAATAAAACGTCGCACGAAAAATGTCCATTGATTTACGTGACGAATTAGAATTTGTCACATCTTCAAATCATCTTTATTTCGTTTGATGTAGTTTTTAAGATCGCAACGCTTGCGTTGTGTGGATTCGTGTCTTCCGTTGCAAAGAGAGTAGGGTGTAAGAAGAATGTCCGATTCCGAGGGTAGCGTAACGAGCTTGCACGGCTCGGAAAAGTCGGTAACGCGCGACGAGACGACCCAAAAGGATCACAATGGCGACAAGATTGAAAAGTACCAAAACCTACTTCAATCGATGATAGTCACCAATAGTGCTTCCGAAGAGGAGGAACAGGCGGATGAGGAAGATAACGCGAACGAAAAGAGGATAGTAGGTAAGCTATACATTTACCGATTGTAAAATTACGTGAACGTTCTGTGTAAAGCTGGAATCATATCTGAAGAAAATACAAATATTTTTGTACTTGTCTTGTGAATGTCATTAAAATATATAGCGTAAGTGTCTTTGTCGTCATTCTCGGTCACTTGAAACAACAATAACCGCCTAATGCGTAGAATAGATGAAGATTGCACTGTGGAACTCAGGTAACCTGTTGAGAGATCCTGGAATGAGCGAAAATGGAGAGAGCTTGGCGCAGCTTAACTTGGAAAATTTTCCAGACGCCCGCCAAGGGCATTATCAGGGAAAGTGGCTGAACAGCAGTAGACGGCGCGCGAAGGAAATTTCTCTGGCCTCGGGGATTAAGTTTCCGTCGCTCTCAGAATCGCCTCGCTCTTTTCCACCTCTGCGCACTTCCTTCCTTTTTTAGCTTTTATTTTTCCTTCACCGAACTTAGACACGAGAGAGAGAGAAAGAGAAAAAAGAGAGAGAAAGAGCGCGGATGCTGACTGTAAGCGCTTGGGCGATTCTGCTGTCTCTTTCAGTTTTGAGCAAATTAGCTATTCTTCCTCGTAATTTCGCGCTCCGTTTTATCCCCGTCACGTTTTCGATGTGAACTTCGGCTTCGTTCTACGGAGAACCGCAAGAAACTTCATTCGTGAAGAAAAGTCGATTACATATGCGCAAGCGGGATTTTAAAAGACAAAGGAAAGCAGCGTAATCACGTTCGCGTTTAAAATTTTAATTGCTAGAAACCGGCTGAGAGAAGAGTGCACGCCCCGCGTTCACATAATCCAATATCCAAACCGCAGAATTCTCGCAAGCTGTTACCGATTCTACAACTGCGCCACGGTTATCTCGGCTTTATACAAGGCGTTCTAAGCATCTCGGAAATTTCACCCGGAACCGAAAACCCATACGAGACGGAGAGAAACCGTCTGCGTCTCAAATTAAACTCATAAAACGGCCGCAATGCCCGCGCGGTCCCTTAAAGGTAGATTCACAAAGACAGATTAAGATCTGACCATCTGCGTATCGAGAGACAAAAATAATATGCAGAACCGTCTTTGCAGAGATAATGGATAAAAGCAAACACATTTACATTAAAACTCTCTAAAAAGAAAAGATCAATATATTTTCTATCACATTTGTGTGAGATAAAATTCAAAGTTCTGATCTGTTGCGAAAAAGCTTCTAGCAAAAGAGACGGAAATATGCTATATATTTGCAGTGTTAATAATTCTTATTCTTGTTGAAAAAAATATTACACGGGTGTAAATCATAATTAAATAAAAAATTGAAGATATTACAATTACAAAAAAATAAAATAAAATAAAAGAAATTATTATCCAACTATTGATCTCGGAAATTATATACGTATAATTTTTTACTTACTTAAATTATATACGTATAATTTTTTACTTACGTAAAAATGGACGTAACTGGTATAAATCCTTTGTGTAAATTTACAGATTTTCGTGCAACTTGACACATTTTCTTTAAACAATGTGCGCGGACGATGTCTTTGAGTTCGCTGTGAATGTACCCTGCTGCTTACTTCGGTTGCTGCAGTTTAGCAACAGCGTTTCGCAATGCCACATCTTTACACATATATACGAAGACACACGCGACCGAAACGGGAGTAGCATAGGAGAAGGAGAAACCATGATTAAAATAATAAATTTCGGAGACGCGAGTACCACGTTTTAGCCCAAATTAGTATTGCGCCCGAGCACGGCACCGCACGATGTGCGTTTCCGAGTTGCAAAGAACGTTAGTGTACTTTGAATTATAAATGTCAGGCTTTAACGCGGAAATGTTCCGGCGTATGTCGTTCGAATAAGGAGGACCCTCAAGAGGAGGGAGTGAGATTTTATTAGGGTAATGTTCGTTAGGTGCGTCTCTCCGGGCAACGTTCCAATTCGATCTCACAGTCAGTTTCATTCCCATGGCAGACATATACATTAGCAGACGGAAGAAAAAAGATTTTTCGACGTTTTTCCCGAGTATATATTTGAAAGCGTGCAATAAAAGAAACCGATCAATAAAGTCGTCGTTTTAATCTGCTCGATATTTCACTTCCATTTGCGATACGATATTTTGTGAGATTTTATATCAAATTATTTCTTTAAAAAAAGATTTCCCCGTTAAATAAAGATTGATTGTAAAATATAATTGTCAAGTCCTGACGAAAGATGACTGACTTTTTTATTCATTAAAATTTTATGTACACAGATTTGTTTACCAGACTAACAAACAAAAATTAATAATTACGACAATTTATTATTCTTTCTCTCAGAATGCAGTTTTACGTCTTGTTGTACATTGTAATTGCGCATAGTAGAAATTCTTGTATCCTCGCATTTTATTTTGAGGCGGAAATATGTGCAATATAAAACGGGAAAATATCGTATGAAATATCATATCACCAGAGTAAATAACATTTGTATATTCTACCGCGTTTGTTTTTTATGTTCACTACGTGTCTCTCATTGAAGCAAATCTCTATATAGCTACGTCTGAGAATAAAAACGCATTTTTCACGGAGATCTCCCCCCCTTTCGCGCATCTCCCGCATCTTCCGCATCTCCCGCATCTTCCGTCTGAGAGAATTGGCACGTAGAGCGCAATATACAATTCCGGATTATCATAATACCGACTGTCAAGCTTGTTTAACGCTTCCTCTCGTGCTTGAGACACACACCTTTCTCCTTTTATCTCCCGACGCGCTTTAAAGCCTCCTTTGAAAAGTTTTCGAGCAACCGAATCGCCAGATGTCTCGTTGCATCGTCTCGAGAAGATCCTCTCCGTGCCGTACTTCGGCATTCGGATTAGAATCGAGAGATCGAACTTTTCTTCGTCTTTGATTTGCACAAAAATTATGCGATTTCAATCAGAATATGAGATGAGATCTCGCGCTGAATTTATCGAACGTGAAATAATCCAAGCGCAATAATTAATTCAATCGTATTGTAATAATTATTAAATTAAAATCCATCGAATTTTTTTTGGTAATGATAGATAAACAGAAATATGTAACTCTGTAGCAAATTAATTTGTGTAATTGTTCGAAAGGCACATTTACTCTGCTATTAATTTTTCTGCGAAATAGTAGTTTGGTAAAATACAGTTTGCGCGACCAACACGCGAGTATTGATAGTGATCATGATCGATCTTACGAAGGGACCGTGTAAGAAACGTCAAGTTCATGTCTTTCGATATTTGCCGCCATGTTCGTTTCTTGATGCAAATACGCGTACTATCAAGATCTCATTTTTCTCAAACGCAACTATCACGTCGTGAACGCGAAGGAAAATTGGAAAACGTTCGCCACTTGGGTGGCGAAAAATATTCCTTTCTTCCGCGTGATAAAGGATGGAAGTTTCGATAGCGATGCTTGCTTGCTTGCTTGCTTGCGCGCTTCGCGTATCGTTGCACCCCGCGACGACGGTGGTGTGGGACCGCGCGTGTGAAAAATGACATCAAGTTCAAAAGCTCCCTAAATAAGAAATCACTCCCGGAGGCGACGCGCGTGCGTCGATCGCATTATTCACTTCGTCCGAAAACTCTAAAGTGAAATACCGCGTTGGCCCGCGGGATTCGCGATCATCAATTTCAACGTCGAGCCAGACAAAAACGCGAAACGCCCCTCCCCCGTCTCCCCCCGTGTCGACGAGGGAGAGAAAGCGGCGCGAGAGAGAGATCCTGTCCGGACGATCCGTTTCGTTAGAGGACACAGACGCAGACGTGTGATAATCCGCGACGCGCGGTTGATTTGTTAGAAACGACGGAAATCACGGGGAGAATGACGAATGATAGGCGAGACAAATTTTCTCGAAGGGTAGATAACGTCAAGAGTCATTTTTTTTTTGCCGCGTGCAAATTGTTTTGCGTCACGGAGAAGATCTCGGGGAAAGGTTGCGAGTCTGCGTCACTTCGAAAATACGAAAAGCATTTTGTTCGAATTCCAGATGGAGACTTATTAAAGCCACTTCTGAGCGAAAATGTCGTACGGCATATTTTGTAAAACTTGATTTTGCAAAATTTGTCACTTGCCGCTGCGCCCTTTTGTGCGCGGACCTCTCGATTGTAAATGGGCTCGGCTCCGCGTAGGTCCAAAAGAATATATGAGAAAGCTTTCGGTTGTAACAACGCATTTTACCGTCCTCGTTCCGGATGCCAGTCCACGCCGCTCCAATTTCCGCGACCAACCGACGAGGATGAATTTTTTTCTCGCAACACCCCTACGACGCGACGCGGGTCGCGCGCAGAGGATAAAAAGGTGGAAAGGGGGCGGAGTAATTTGATATGGTGGGCCAGAGAGTACGGGGGTTTTTCTTTTTTTTTTTTTTTTTCCTAATTTGAAGAAGGGCGAGTATCCGCGAAATGAAAAGCGTCGGGGTCCTTTGTAGATACGCACCCCGCACAAAGTCTGCGCGCGTCTGCGTGCACGTGCGTGTGCGAGGATTAAAGAGAAACTCTTCGCCCTCTCTCGTAGCGCGAGCAACGCGCTTGATCGGGCACGCAGCCGAATCTGTTACTTTTAATACGCTCATTTGAACACATAGTGGCAATGTTCTATATATATAGTTCACGAATTACGTACGAAAAAGATTGTTCACATTTTTTTCACAAAATTTTATTTTTTTATGTTTGAGAGAGCGATGAAGATTCATCGTTTTTCAGTATTGCAAGTTTTCACTTTTTGAAATAATAATTATCAACATAATGTCGAAATTATTAAGATTCTATAATGAACGAATGAATTGTAATGATAAAATTGCTGCAACGAAATATAACACAGCAAGGGGAGGAAGCTTTGTCGTGTAATTTGTATATAACGAATCGATCGAGATATTTGTGGCTGCGCATTTCTTTAAAGTGGTGCACGGTACAGAGTGACATTTTGCGCGATTATAATCTGGCGAATCAGAAAGTAAAAAAAAAAACTTGCTGAACTTTCGCGAGCTGTTATTTATGATATCGATTCAAGACGGACTCTATGTTCACGCGTTTCTGACAAAGAGAACATCAAATTAATTTGTCCGCAAGATAACTCGATCTTTCTCCTAGTGCAATTCTCCTTTGTGCGTATAGCTTCAAAAGAAAAGCATTTTGAAGAACGTGTTAAATTACGCAAATTACTTATTCTGTTATAAATATTTCGCGTTGAACATGCAATCGCGTTTTCGGCAAGAACACGCTGAATTCGCATAACTTCGTTATTTCACAAAGTGCTACTGTGTTCGCGCAATTGCATTTTGCAAAACTTACAAATGCAGCGAGCGATGAAGAACGTTATCGTTGCGAAGTTGGGAGTGGAAGAAGCTGAAGTCACATTACACGGCGCGCGACCGGAAGACTTGGCCGCGCCAAAGTATCTGAAGAAACTTCGAAAGAATGAAATCGTGCCTTGTGTGCCGCTGCGCGGGAAGCGAGATATCGCGTGCCATGTCAGTTGATTTTAGTATATTCCGTGCGTCCCGTGACAATAGGGAGCCAACGAGCAAGCGGGCTTTGCTTCGAGAGACACGATCGCAATATCAAGCTGCTTTTCACTGGTTCAGTCCGTACCTGGTTTCCTGACCTGCTTGCACGACACAACCATTTAACGATCACAATACCCCGTGTCAGCGGAACCTCCGCTTTTATAAATCGCTCTTTATCGCGAATTCGCGATGTCGCTTTTTGAGTTTTTCGTAGTCCAATTCTTGAAGTCCTTCGTTTTTCCTTTAATATCGCGCGTCTAAAAAAATTAACAGCTAATATTGAAATAGTTAATGTAGCAAAACGCGTGCAGTACGTGTATAATTTTTTATCGTAATGATAATTAACTATATAACATTAGCCTGCGCTTCTCTAAACATATCGAAACAAAATAAATAACAATTGTTATTATTATTATTTAGTACACACACACACAAGATGGACAAAGTTTTACGATCTTGATTTATAAAAATATAACTTATTTTTTGGAAAAAAAAAAGAAACAGAAATGGCCGCGCCGGACGCACCACCGGATTTTCGACTTGAGTACATCGGTAGTTTCGTGCAGAAGAGTCTGAAATTAAAGCCGGAAAAATGGGGAAGATTATTATTGACCGAGGATTATCGAAATGTGGTGTTAGATTTTTTGGACAAGCCGTTGCCAGCTGCTCTCTTTGTCGTTTTAACGCCGAATGCGCAATTAGTGGCGTCATCGAGTTTTCCCATATCGTGCCAAAGAGCCAAAGGTGAGTTTTACACACACAGACACACACACACACACACACACACAATTTCATTATATCAAAGTTAAATAATTTTGCAGTATTTTAACCGAAATTATTCAAGCAATTCTTACAAAAATAATTATTATTGCAGGTGTCTACGCAATCAAAGTAAAACAGGCGCCACTTCCGAAAGATAAAGAAGGATGTTCGGCAATGTTGATTGTGGGAGATTTATCTCATCGTGTCGTTGATCAATTGGCTACTTTAGTGGATAACATTGTCGCTCCGCTTCTAACCAAATCGGAAAATCACAAAGATTTGCCGGAAATTGCCATTCAAGATATATGCAAACACGTGCACGCTTTGCGTGGCACATTATATCAGGTAGTCGATAATTAAATTTATTAAAATGTTTATTAAAATGAGAGATAAGTAAATAAAGAGGATAAAACTATTTTTTTATTGATTCCCCTCAGAGTTACAATATTTTTTTTAAACATTCATGCGTCCAATTTTATTTCTCGATCCGACGTCGATATTTCAGACTGACGTCGACTTGAAAGAGACCGGCCCGGAAAAATCCGACGATGTGCGGATTCGAGAGCTCGGAAACCTCCCGCTCGCAGCCCTCAGACCGCGAGACCACTCGCGGCCGGTTCGCGAGAAATATGTATACATAAAGCTGATTATATGATTTGCAGGTGAAAGGTCAGGTGAATGGGAGAACGGTACTGCCGATGCCAGCAGGTCTCGAGAAGATAACGGAAGTCGAACGAATGGTTTCCGCAGAGGGACCACAGGCAGCCGACTTGTATCTGAAAAGCGCGATAGAAGGCGTGGTGATAAAATGGGCTTACTTGGTCAATGATGTTGTAACTCACGAATCCAGCGCTGCGTTCGAAAACGGACAAAATCCGACGCCCAATGTCGAATTAGAATACTGGTCCACGAGATTGGCAAATTTAAGGTAAAATAATATAAAATATATAAGAAATGTATAAGAGAAATGTATATAATATTCTTCAAAACACCCTTTATATAAAAAATTATAAAATCTTTTCTTGATGTTTGAAGACACTATTGTGTCTAGCGTAACTATATGTTGTTTCATATATCCTTTGCAGATACATTTACGATCAACTGCAAGAAGACCGGGTGAGAAAGATGGCGATAATACTCGAGAAAACCGACAGCGCCTATTTCCCCTGTTTTCGTACGTTGTCCGAAAACGTGGTCTCTTCGCTGGCCGAAGCGAAGGAAATATCGTTATATTTATCGCCATTAGCGAAGGTCTTTAAAACCGTAGAAGAGATCGATTTTTCCGAAGCGAAGCCGCTGATGGCAACTCTGATACACTCGCTCGGATTGGCATGGGCGAAATGCAAGAGTTATCAAAGCTCCAGCAAGCTTATCATCATGCTTCGACAAATTTGCAATTTATTGATACAAGAGGCGTGTCGATTTCTCGATCCGACGTCGATATTTCAGAGTGACGTAGACGAAGCTCTTCAACGCGTTCAAATATCGAGAGGTAAAATGTTACGACAAACACGATCAATGAGATAATTCGAAAATATCGCTAGCATAATTATCAATTTTATGAATATTTTTATTACAAGTTGATTGATTATACTTTTTATAAAAAAAGAACAAATTGTTGGTTATTTAATAACACATTAAATTTATTAATCTAATAAATGTGTCAAATTTTTTTATAATGCAATATAATGCGTATAGTATATTTTGCATTATAATATTTTGTTTTTACTAATTTCTTTAACGAGAAAAAAAAAACACGGTTTTCGATAGAAGTTCTCGAGGAATTTAAAAAACAGTTCGAATTAAGAAAGCACATGCCGGGTCTGAAACCGGAAGCTCCATCATGGACGTTTAATTCGACCGCCGTCTTCACTCGTCTCGACGCTTTTCTAAAACGACTGACGGATATCGAATGGCTCTTCGACACCGTCCTCGAATTTTCCAAGTTGGAGAAGATTGAAATAGGTGGCATTCTCGGACGATCTTTGAGTGCTAGGATCATAAGCGTGTACAAAGAATTTCAGCAGCTCTTCGTCTCTTTCACCGTAAGAGCCAGTGATGTTCTCGAGCCAGACGACGAATCTTTTGTTGTCGACTGCACTAAGTTCTCGGAATCCATCACGGATCTCGATAGTAAATTGGCGGCAATTCTTTGCCAAGCTTTCGACGATTGTGGAAATCTCGAAAGTGTTTTTAAGGTAATAACTTTCTATTTTTATTGCTAATTCGCGATTAACGGTTAATCCAATTTAAATTGTTTGCTCTTATCGTACTTCACATTTAAATTAGAACAATTTGGTTGAATGCTAAAGTTACACATTGTACAATTTAATTATCAAACTCAAATATGTACGCGCGAATTTTGCGCACATATTTGTTTTCGACTTAAATATCTCATCTCTTTCATCGTTCGATTGTTCTCTTATCTTACTACATAAATCGTACAACATTTGCAAATCCGAAAACTCACTTCGTTTTTTTTTTTTCAAGTTAATAAATATCGCTGGATCGGTACTGGAACGTCCTGTGATTCGAAAGCAATTTACAAATCGATACGCTAGAATTCTCGAACTTTTGAACATGGAACTGTCAATAGTTGAAGTTCTGTTCAATCGCGGCACGAGGGGTGCTCTGATTAATCTACCGCCCTTAGCTGCTGCCTTGATTTTCACCGGCATGTTGAAACAACGTATTGACTTGCCCATACAATCATTCAAAGCCATGCCTCATCCGTACGTATTAAAAGTCTGTGCGCAATATATATATCTATAAATCATTCTTTTATCTGTCTACTTTGTTTTTTTTGTCAGATATGTGTCTGTAAAAGCGTGAATGATGTGAAAAATGCATTTTCTATTTAAACTTTGTCACTTCGTGTTGTAGATAAAAATATAAATGTATTTTTAACGATAGCGCGATTACAACTTTTCTCGTTTGCAGTATCGTGCACAGCGACGAAGGTAAAAATATAATGGCACGTTACGAGAGATTGATAAAAATATTCGCTGATAAGGAAGACGAACTCTTTACTGAATGGGCGCGAACGGTTCCGCAAACTGTTGATGTTGGCCTTAATCGTTATCTGCTCTCTAGAGAGGTCGACAATATTTTGTTACTTAATTTCGATCCAGATCTTCTTGCGGTATTGAAAGAAGTAAATTACTTGAAACAGATGTCACGTTCTGATATTCCTGAAGAAGCAATTAAGGTACACACAAGTGCGAACTGATATTTTTAACAGTATCTAAAAAACAATAAAAAAAAATAAATTTTCTAATAATTGCATTTTTTGTGCGCACGCTTAGCGATTAATTAAATTACACGTATATTTTTTTTAAATATTTTACGTGCGTTACATTATCAGGTATCTGAAAATGCGGAAACGTTTAGAAAGTTTCGCACGATGCTGAGCGGCACCGTCGACTCCTACAATAACATACGGAAAACGACCAAGCGAGTAGAATTCGATCTAATCGAATTGGAAGTGGCAAGGATCGATTCGCTGATATCCCGTGGAGAAGACGAGCTCTGCTGGAGATCAGACGGGCTTCTCGAATATATAACGGAATTAGGCGACCTTGTGGAAGGACTCTGGAAGCGCATGAAGGCCGTTCAATCGAACCTAGAGAAGATCAGAAATATTTTAGAACCTTGGACCAAGACGCCTCTCATTGAACGAAAGGATCGTCGTAAGGACACACTGCTCGCCTTGGAGGATCGTTCGGAAAAAGTATCAAAACGTTACGCGGAGATCACAAAGGCCGCTGAGCAAATACATTCGATATTGGAAGAAAATCAGGCACTTTTCCAAATCAGCGAGACTGATCAAGAAGCTTGGCGGGAATACGTGAACTACATCGATGACATTGTTATCGAGTCCCTTCGAAAAGCAGTCGGATGTTCTCTAGGTTCTATTCTCAAATTAAAAAAAAAAAAAAACATTATAAAGAATATTTTTTTTTTAAAGCACAATAAACGATCTGTGAAACGATGTTTTGTGATTTCGCGTTTAGGATATTTGGCGGAAAGCATGGATCCCATCGGTCATTGCGAACCTTTACTCGAAGCCAAATTAGAGCTGAGAGAACCAGATTTGTATTATATACCGTCGTTGGAACCCGAAGATCCCGACGGACTTGATCAGCTCATTGTTGGTTTGTTAAATGACATCACCGGTATGGCCGCTTTGATACCGCGATTAAAAAAAGATTCTGCGGGATATGCCGAAGAACTGTCAGAGGACGCTGATATTAAAGGAATGAAAGATGAGATATTGACATGTGTATCTACCGCAGTGGAGGAAGCCACCGATTTCTGTAGTAACTTTGAAGGTGTTCGAAAATTTTGCTTACCGGATAATAAAAATATTTCAATATCATTTTTATTGACACGTCATTTTTTTTTTTCACGTCAATATATGACGCTATTCTATATTTGATCAGGCTACGCCTATCTATGGCTGGATGATAGAGATGTTGTGATGCAACAATTTCTCGAATACAGCCGACAATTGTCAGTAGAGGAAATGGACATGGTGGCGGCTCAGGATCCTAAAGGACCGACGAAGTCACCGCCGAAAATGGAGCAATTTCGCGAACAAATCGACCTTTACGAGGGCCTCTATCTCGAGATCGAGGAAATGGATCTGTCCAAAGTATTTTGCGGCTGGTTCAGGGTAGATCTTAGACCCTTCAGACAGTCGGTACTAAACACGGTGTGCAAATGGTCGAGCATGTTCAAAAAACATTTGGTCGATCGTGTAACAACCAGTTTGTCAGATCTAGGGACATTCATAAGGTGTCGTGTAAAAAATTGAATTTTATTTTGACACTTATAACATAATTCGATCATTTCGAATATCATCTGGACAATGTCTAACTCATTATTTTTTTATTCATATACAAGTTTCATTAATGCAATATTTGTTTACTTAATTAATAATATGTATAAATTCACATATAAATAAAAAAAAAAACACTGCACGACTTCTAGATTAGCGGACGAAGGATTGTTACAGCAAGTACAACCAGGTGATTATACCGCTCTGGTCAGCGTAATGGGCTATCTGCTACAAGTGAAAGAACGCCAGCCAACTACAGACGAGATGTTCCAGCCATTAGAAGAAACTATTGAGTTGCTCAAGTTCTATGATCAAGATATACCTGAAGAAGTAAACGTGCTGCTGCAAGAATTGCCGGAGCAATGGGCAAACACGAAAAAACTCGCTCTTATGGTGAAACAGCAAGTTGCGCCATTACAGGCAGGTCTGTAAAACAACTGAACGTTTGTTCAAGGTAGTATAATACTTCTGTCATTGTGTCTGATTTTTTCTTTTAGTTGATTACAGGTATAAATATTCTGTATTAACAAATGTAGATATATAAAACAATTTACATTAATTAATAATATAATGAACAATAAATTATTAGGCGAAGTATCGAGAATTCGCGGTCGAATCTCCGCGTTCGATATTACAATAACTCAGTATCGAGAAGCGTTTCGGCGATATACATTTTTTAAATACGACTGCAAGAATCCGTACGAGCTACTAGACGAGGCGCACAAAGAAATTCTCATGTTGGAACGTCAAATGAAGGACATTCAAGATTCCGCGTCGCTATTTGAGGTGACGGTACCCGAATTTAAGCAACTGAAACAATGCAGAAGAGAACTGAAAATGCTCAAGCAGCTCTGGGACTATGTAAATATAGTACAGAGCAGTATCGAGGGTTGGAAAACGACACCCTGGAGGAAAATTGACGTCGAAAATATGGACATCGAGTGCAAGAAATTCGCGAAGGAGATACGTGGTTAGTGAGAAATTGTCTACTGTCCCAAAAGATATCAAAAAAATTAAGCAGTTTTATGTGTTCTCAAATAATTTTTATGATTTGCTTATATCGCTTCAAAAATGTTTTTTTGTTTTTGCTTGTGACCTAAAAAAGAACAACACACTATCGTATAAAATAAATATATAATATACTTTATATTTTTACAAAATGGTGAGAGAAAATATCTCACAAAATATAGAATCACAATTTTAAGTTTTAACTTGTCGAATGTTTCGTCCAGCAGCACTGGACAAAGAAATGAGGCCGTGGGACACGTACATATCGTTGGAGGCTACGGTGAAGAACATGCTTACGTCATTGCGCGCCGTGGGAGAATTGCAAAATCCGGCTATTCGAGAGAGACACTGGCGGCAACTAATGAATAGTACTAAGGTATCGCTGGAAATTGCAGAGCGGATGTTTAATTCATTTCCTACGCAATACGAATCCATGCAAATTAAGGAACAATGTCATTATCCGAAAGATACAATCTCATACTAGCTCCGCCTTTATTGTAATTCAATATTTTAAATAATTTATTGATTTTTGTGTTATACTTTTGTCTGAAACAAAATTATATTTATATATATAACAACATAATTTCATAATGCGAATGTGATATATAGTTCACATAGTATTAGTAAAGTTAGTTGCACCGCTGTATATACGCTGTCGATGTTACAGAAATTGGGCAACATGACTCCAGAAATGACCGTAAGTCCACTGTATATACGCGCACATTTGCATTTTTCAATATTTCTATATTTTTCAATATTATATGTATATATATACATATATACATATATATTCTTTAATAATAATAAATATATTGTATATATACATGGTGTGTGTATATATATACACATATAACACGAAGAAAAAACTAATAATGTTTATGCATGTAAGAATAGTATGTGTATTTTATATCATTATTTATTGCACTATTATATTTTATATATATACGCATATTTATGTATATTATTAAATTTTTCTCTTTCAATGGTCAAACTTTTTTATGCGCATAGCTAAAACACAGCACGCGATATTAGTTAAACAAACGAACTTAAGTTTAAGTCAGTTATTTATTAAAATATAAAAAATAAATATATTAGCACTATGTTAAAAATTTATGGTCTGCTATTATCATAAATTCACACATACACACGTACACGCACACACACATCATTATTCATTGTATGTATATCACCAATTGTACAAATTTTTAATAAATCTGCTATATAAATACAATACGTCATTATTTCGTATATTTAGACAATTTCCTTTGCCACTTTGCATTATTATTCAAGTAAATTATAGAGGATAGCTGCTTTTTTTAATTTTACCAATATACGTAGCCACACATCGTCAGACGACTTTCTTACACGTAGGTTCGTTTTGTAATGGACGAATCGACGACTCTAGCCGATCTACTCGAGTTGAATCTCCACGAATGCGAGGAAGAAGTTAAAAATATCGTTGATAAAGCAGTTAAAGAAATGTCAATGGAAAAATACATGAAAGAATTAAATATTACGTGGTCGAAAATGGAATTCGAACGAGAAGTCCATGCTCGAACGGGAGCTACTTTAATAAGAGCTAGCGAAGAATTAATTGAGACGCTAGAAGAAAATCAGGTTAAAAACTCTTTCAATAATATGTTTTTGCAAGCTATATATGCATTCTCTTTTTAATATGAAATGATAGAGAATGCTAGCGTTTGTTTAAATATTTACTATCTATTTTATAAGAAATAATTTTCAAATTAAATTTATTTAAATTTATTTAAAAAAAAAGAATTGTTTTTATTTCAAAACGCAGGTGCAGTTGCAGAATCTGATCACCTCGAAGTTTATCGCGCATTTCTTAGAGGAGGTGTCGTCGTGGCAGAAAAAGTTAAGCATTGCCGATCAGGTAACGACCGTATGGTTTGAAGTTCAACGCACCTGGATGCATCTTGAGAGCATTTTCATGTCGTCGGAAGATATCCGACGGCAATTGCCGGTTGATGCCGAGCGGTTCGATCGTATAGATAAGGAATTCAAGGAGATGACAGAGGAAATGGCGAAAACGCCGAACGTCGTCGAGGCGACGAATAAGGACGGTCTTGTATCCGCTCTTGACATTTTGCAAAAAGAGCTCGTACTATGCGAAAAGGCCTTAGCGGAATATTTGGAAACAAAACGCCTAGCCTTTCCGCGATTTTATTTCGTTTCTTCCAGCGATTTGTTGGACGTACTCTCGAACGGAAATCAACCGGAAGTGGTGGCAAAACATTTGACAAAATTGTTCGATTCCATGGCGCGCCTAAATTTCGACAACAAGAACACTTCGTTAAAACGCGTCTTGGGTGAACAATTACATTCTACATGTATTATTGTTATTAATTACACGTATTATGCGATTGTTGTTTAATTGTCCGTCACGTTTCACAGGCATGTTTGCCAAGGACGGTGAATATGTGGAATTCGCGAACTGTGAAATGATTTGCGAAGGACCTGTGGAAGCGTGGCTAAATCGTCTGCAGAGAGCCATGCGCGTATCTATTCGGCATTATTTTAACGAGGCGGTGGTCGCGTACGAAGAGAAACCGCGAGAACAATGGCTGTTCGACTATCCGGCCCAGGTGTCTCTTTGTGGAACACAAATCTGGTGGACCACCGAAGTTAACATCGCTTTCGCGCGTCTCGAGGAAGGCTACGACAATGCCATCAAGGATTATTTAAAAAAACAAATCTCGCAGTTAAGCACTCTCATCACTCTGCTGATAGGCGAACTGACCAAACAAGAGAGACAGAAAGTCATGACCATTTGCACGATAGACGTGCATTCCAGAGATGTCGTGGCGAAGTTGGTTCAGTCGAAGGTGGAAACTTCGCAGGCTTTTCAATGGCAGAGCCAGCTGCGACACAGATGGGACGAGAAGGAGAAGGATTGCTTTGCAAATATTTGCGACGCGCAGTTCAAATATTCTCACGAGTACCTCGGCAATACACCCAGGTTAGACACATCATATCGCACGTTTTCCCGACTTATGTTTATTTTTTATTTAAATAATGTTCATCGATGTTGTTTCACACGATGCGATAATGCTGTTTGTTTTTTTTTTAGATTGGTCATAACGCCGTTAACGGACAGGTGTTACATTACTTTGACGCAATCTCTGCATCTCATAATGGGCGGTGGTCCAGCTGGGCCAGCCGGGACCGGAAAGACCGAAACAACGAAAGATCTCGGCAGAGCTCTCGGTATAATGGTATACGTGTTCAATTGTTCCGAGCAGATGGATTATAAGTCTTGCGGCAACATATACAAAGGTCTGGCGCAGACTGGCGCGTGGGGTTGTTTCGATGAATTCAACAGAATCACGGTCGAGGTGCTGTCGGTAGTGGCCGTGCAAGTAAAATCGATTCAGGACGCGATCAGAGACAAGAAGGAGAAATTTAATTTCATGGGCGAAATAATAGCGCTCGAACCTACCGTTGGCATATTCATAACCATGAATCCCGGTTACGCCGGGCGCACGGAGTTGCCGGAAAATTTGAAAGCACTTTTTCGACCTTGCGCCATGGTGGTGCCCGATTTCGAATTGATATGCGAAATAATGTTAGTTGCCGAAGGATTTCAAGACGCCAGAGTACTCGCGAGAAAATTCATTACGCTGTACACATTGTGCAAGGAATTATTGTCTAAACAGGATCATTACGATTGGGGTTTGAGAGCGATAAAGTCAGTTCTCGTGGTCGCCGGCAGTTTGAAGAGAGGCGATCCCGGCAGACCGGAAGAAGAAGTATTAATGAGAGCTTTGAGAGACTTCAACATTCCCAAAGTGATATCGGACGATCTTCCGGTGTTTATGGGGCTGATAGCAGATTTGTTTCCCGCGTTGGATGTGCCCAGAAAGAGAGACGTCGAGTTCGAGAAGATGGTCAAGCAAGCGGCTGCTGATTTAAGTTTGCAACCGGAAGACGGATTTATTCTCAAAGTCGTGCAACTCGAGGAGCTATTGGAAGTGAGACATTCTGTCTTCATTGTAGGCATAGCTGGTTCCGGAAAGACTCAAGTGTGGAAGACGTTGTTCAAGACTTATCACAACATGAAGAGAAAGCCGGTCTATAATGATCTCAATCCTAAAGCGGTAACGAACGACGAACTGTTCGGAATTATCAATCCAGCGACAAGAGAATGGAAAGACGGTCTCTTCTCGGTGATCATGAGAGAACAGGCAAATCTGGGTGGCGAGAATCCGAAGTGGATCGTTTTGGACGGCGACATCGATCCAATGTGGATCGAATCTCTGAACACCGTTATGGACGACAACAAGGTTCTGACGTTGGCTAGCAACGAACGGATTGCGCTGACGCCGGTGATGAGATTACTCTTCGAAATCTCGAATCTGAGAACCGCTACACCCGCCACGGTCTCGCGAGCCGGTATTTTGTACATAAATCCACAAGATTTGGGATGGAATCCTTACGTGACCAGTTGGGTCGAGAAGCGGCCTTTGCCAAATGAGAAATCGAATCTGGTCATGCTCTTCGACAAATATATTCCGACTTGTCTCGAGACTCTAAGAACCAGATTCAAGAAAATAACACCCATAGCAGACATGGCGCACGTCGAGATGTTGTGCCACCTTCTTCATTGTCTTTTAAAACCGGAACTGACAGCTACCGAATTTTACAAAGAGCATTACGAACTCTACTTCGTGTTCGCAGCTGTCTGGGCTTTTGGTTCCGCCATGTTTCTGGATCAAACGGTAGATTACCGAGTGGAGTTTACCAAATGGTGGATCAACGAATTCAAACAGGTGAAGTTTCCATCTCAAGGCACGGTGTTTGATTATTACATCGACAACGAGACCAAGAGTTTTGTTCTTTGGACAGAACGTCTACCGAAGTTCGAATTGGATCCAGAGCTACCTTTACAAACTGTTCTGGTGCACACGTCAGAGTCCATCAGAATAAGATACTTCTTGAATCTGTTGATGCCGGACAAGCATCCGATAATGTTGGTCGGTCCGGCTGGTTGCGGCAAAACTGTTCTGGTCGCCGAGAAACTTCTTCAGCTTTCTGAGAACTACGCGGTAGCTAATGTGCCGTTTAACTTCTACACTTCGTCCGAAATGTTGCAGAAGATTCTGGAAAAATCATTGGAGAAAAAAGCAGGCAGAAATTACGGTCCGCCGGGAAATAAAACTTTGGTTTATTTCATCGACGACATGAATATGCCGGAAGTGGACACTTACGGCACTGTTCAGCCTCACACGCTTATCAGACAACACTTGGATTACGGTCATTGGTACGATCGTACGAAACTGACCCTGAAAGATATTCACAATTGTCAATACGTCAGTTGCATGAATCCGACTGCCGGATCGTTTACGATAAATCCGAGATTGCAGAGACACTTTGCTGTATTTGCTGTTAGCTTTCCAAACATAGAATCATTGACAACTATATACGCCTCCATTTTGTCACAACATCTTGCTAATGTGGAGCACAGGTAACATTAAAATAATGATTTATTTAAACTATATATATATGTGTGTATTTGTTGTGTATTAATTAAATACGCGATTGAAATTGTTCGCGTGAACAATTTTCTTTCGATATGATTATTACATTCTAGAATTAAATTCTGACATTAATATATTTACGTAATAATAATGTGTGTAATTAGGTTTCCTCTAAACGTCACCGAACTATGCCCTAACATTGTACAAGCGACCATTCAATTACATCATCGTTGCGCGCAAATGTTTCTACCAACAGCGGTGAAATTTCATTATATTTTCAATCTTCGCGACCTTTCCAACTGTTTTCAAGGTCTATTGTTCAGTGGCAACGAGTGTTTGCAGTGTTCGATAGATTTGATCAGACTTTGGATGCACGAGACTCAACGTGTTTACGGAGATAAATTAACAGATGAGAAAGACAACGAGAGTTTTTTGAAACTGCAACTCGACATTCTGAAAAAAAATGTAGAAGAAGTGGACGAAGGGGCGATTCTAGAAAAGCCGAACATTTATTGTCATTTTGCAGGTTTTTACTTATTAATTTGTTTAATTTTGTGTATATTTCATAAAAAAATATATATAAGTGTAAATAATTTTTTGAAAAAATTACTAGATCAATTAAATGATATGTGTGTGTGTAGGAGGAGTTGGAGAGCCGAAGTATATGCCCGTCAAAGATTGGGCGACTTTGCATCGCCTCTTGTCAGAAGCAATGATCAGTTATAACGATTTGGTGGCCGCAATGAACTTGGTACTTTTCGAAGATGCCATGATGCACGTGTGCCGTGTGAACAGAATTCTGGAAGCGCCCAGAGGCAGCGCGCTTTTAGTGGGTGTGGGTGGTTCCGGCAAACAAAGTCTCTCACGATTAGCAGCTTTTATAAGCTCATTGGAAGTATTTCAAGTTCAGTTGAAAAAAGGTTACGGCGTGACCGATCTAAAACTGGAACTCGCGGCCTTGTATTCAAAAGCGGGATTGAAAAATCTGGGCATTATGTTTCTGATGACGGACGCACAAGTGCCGAACGAGCAATTTCTAGTTCTCATCAACGACATGCTCGCGTCAGGCGAGGTTCCCGATTTATTTGCCGAAGACGAAGTGGAAAATATTATAGCAGGTTCGAAATGCAGTCACAAAAATTAGATTTTTATAAAACGCAAAAAATAATCATAATAATCAATACTATTTGCATTTGTCACAAAATATGTGATAAATATATTTAAATAGATATTTATAATTTATAATTATATCTGTGATATAAAAAAATCGACAGGAGTTCGTAACGAGGTGAAAGGCGCGGGTATGTTAGACACACGCGAAAATTGCTGGAAGTTCTTCATCGATCGGGTTCGTCGACAGCTCAGAGTAGTTCTGTGCTTCTCTCCGGTCGGTTCTACATTGCGAGTTAGATCCAGAAAATTTCCGGCAATTATAAATTGCACAATGATAAACTGGTTCCACGAGTGGCCGCAGGAAGCATTGATGTCTGTATCGAAGAGATTTTTACAGGAACTAGAAGAACTGTCGGAAAGTTATAGGTGTGTAATTATCAAGTGTGAATAAACAAACATATATATTTTTAATACGTATAGATACGGTCTGTAAGAAGAGAAATATTAATTTTCACGACAGAGAATCAGCTGCGAAATTTATGGCTCATGCTCACACCAGCGTAAATATAGCCAGTCGTCATTATCTGATCAGCGAACGTCGATACAACTATACAACTCCGAAATCGTTTTTGGAACAGATAAGTTTGTACATACGATTGTTAAAAACGAAAGCTTCCGAACTACGTGCTAAAGTAGCCAGACTGGAAAACGGCCTGGACAAATTGAGATCAACGGCTGTGGAAGTGGATAAGTTAAAAAAGAAGTTGGCCGTGCAAGAAGTGGAATTGCAGCAGAAGAACGAAGCTGCGGACGCTCTGATCGCTATAGTTGGCGTCGAAACCGAGAAAGTTCAAAAAGAGAAAGCGATAGGTTTGAATTAATTAATTATTTACTTTCTGTGTGTGCGCGCGCAAATATAAAAAGTTTTAATCAAAGATGCTTTTGTAATTCAGCGGACGAGGAGGAGACCAAAGTGGCCATAATAGCCGATGAGGTTTCGAAAAAGCAAAAAGATTGCGAGGCGGACTTGTTGAAGGCCGAACCCGCTTTGCTGGCCGCACAAGAAGCTTTAAATACTCTGAACAAGGCAAATCTAACTGAACTGAAATCATTCGGTTCACCTCCCGGTGCTGTAACGAACGTAACCGCTGCAGTCATGGTTCTTTTGGCACCAGCTGGCAAAGTACCCAAGGATCGAAGCTGGAAGGCTGCCAAGGTGTTGTCAAATTGACCGAAACTATTCACTTTTTTTTTTTTTTTTTTTTGTATTTTATAAGGACAAAAGGCACAATAATGTCATTTTTGTTTTTCTTCTCTGTAAAGATTGTGATGGCAAAAGTAGATACGTTCCTGGATTCCTTGATCAATTATGACAAGGAGAACATACATCCCGAAGTAATTAAAGCGATACAGCCGTATTTAAAGGATTCCGAATTCGAGCCTGAGTTCGTGAGATCAAAATCGGCCGCCGCGGCGGGTTTGTGCGCCTGGGTGATCAATATTATCAAGTTTTACGAAGTGTTCTGCGACGTGGAACCGAAACGAAAAGCGCTCGCTCATGCAAACGCGGAGCTGGCCGCAGCTCAGGACAAACTTAGCGGTATCAAACGAAAAGTGGCTGTAAGTAAACAACGAAGCAAATACAATTTTTTTTTATTTCTATTATAAAACTTGATCGTGTGTGTCATTTGACAATGTTTTTTTACTCAACTAATTGGAGTAAATTAATTGTCTTCTTAGTCCTTGGAAGAGCAATTAGCAAAGCTAACGGCCGACTTCGAGAAAGCAACGTCCGAAAAATTAAAATGTCAGCAGGAAGCAGACGCCACCAACTCGACAATCGCATTGGCGAACAGATTAGTCGGTGGCTTAGCATCGGAGAATGTTCGCTGGGCTGATTCGGTTGCAAAGTGAGATCCATTCTTTCTCATTACATTTCGTTTTATATTATACATAAAACGATATATATATATCATATATATGTTACATAATATATAGACAATCATCTGAATTCATTGCAAATATTTTTAGCTTTATGCAGCAAGCGTCAACACTACCCGGCGATGTACTGCTGGTGACCGCTTTCATATCTTACGTCGGTTGTTTCACAAAACAATTCCGACAGGATTTGCTAAGCAAGCAATGGTTGCCGTTCATACGCACCGTGGAACCGGCGATCCCAATTACCGAAGGTCTCGATCCTCTCTCGCTGTTAACGGACGACACGCAAATCGCCAAATGGAATAACGAGGGATTACCGAACGATCGAATGTCGACAGAGAACGCCACTATATTGAGCAACTCCGATCGCTGGCCGCTAATGATAGATCCACAGGTGTGTTGTGTGTTGAAAGAAACTGAGTGAAAAAAAATCGAATTTTCAGATATATATCTGACAAAAGCGCTTTTCTTCGCAGTTGCAAGGAATAAAGTGGATCAAACAAAAATACGGAGATGAGCTGAAAGTGATCAGATTAGGTCAACGCGGTTACCTGGATGTAATCGAGTTGTCGTTAGCGAACGGATCAACGGTCTTGTTGGAGAATATAGGAGAAAACGTAGACCCGGTCTTGGATCCTCTGCTTGGTCGAAATTTAATCAAGAAGGGTCGGGCTATTAAGATCGGCGATAAAGAGGTCGAATACAATTCTATGTTTCGATTGCTGCTGCACACGAAGCTGGCTAATCCCCATTACAAGCCGGAAATGCAGGCGCAAACCACGCTGATCAATTTCACGGTGACGAGGGACGGTTTGGAGGATCAACTGCTTGCGGAAGTGGTTAAGGCCGAGAGACCAGATTTGGAGGAGTTAAAGGCCGAGCTTACCAGGCAACAGAATGACTTTAAGATTACTCTCAACAGTCTCGAAGATTCGCTTCTCTCGAGGTATATATCTTCCATCTGAAGTTATTTTATATAACAAATAATTTATATGTAATAACTTTATATAAATATATCAAATCGCAATAACTTTGTCTTATTGTTGTTTACATAGTTGCACAAACGGTATTATCTGTTTGTAAATAAACGAGCATATTTGTTCCGAGAATATTTATTCCGAGTTTAACCAACAGGATCTGCGACGTATACGAATATTTGACTTTGATATTGTTGCAATTGTAGACTGTCATCAGCCGGCAGTAACGTTCTCGAAGACACATCTCTCGTGGAGAACTTGGAGACCACCAAGCGAACCGCAGGGGAGATTGAGTTGAAAGTTACAGAGGCTCGAGGTACCAGTCGGCAAATTGACGCAGCTCGAGAATTATATCGGCCAGCAGCGGCGAGAGCCTCATTGTTATATTTTATTCTAAACGACTTGAACACAATCAATCCGATCTATCAATTTTCATTAAAGGCTTTCAGCGTGGTCTTTCAGAAAGCGATCTTAAAAGCCGATCCCGCGCCCGATGTCACAAGCAGAGTGCAGAATCTTATCGAATGCATCACGTATTCGGTCTTTATGTACACCAGCAGAGGTCTCTTTGAATGCGACAAGCTGATCTTCGCCTCGCAAATGGCTTTTCAAATTTTATTGGCGAGAAACGAAGTTACGGCCGGCGAGCTGGACTTCCTCTTAAGATTTCCTATAACGCCGCACGTTACCTCGCCGGTCGATTTCCTTACCAATACAAGTTGGGGCGGCATACGAAGCCTTTCCACGAGGGAAGAGTTTCGGTAAGAGCACAAGACGAGAAATTATTGTCCGATTGCAGCCTTAACATCTCGCCGTCTCTGGTTGTTTAAAGAAATCTGGATCGGGACATTGAGAGTTCCGCCAAACGATGGAAGAAGTTCGTCGAGTGCGAATGCCCGGAGCGTGAAAAGTTTCCTCAAGAGTGGAAAAATAAAACGGCTATACAACGTCTATGCATGTTGAGAGCTTTGAGGCCGGACAGAATGACGTATGCCATTGCCGCGTTTATCGAGGAAAAGCTTGGTCAGAAATACATCGAGGCGAGAACGGTTGAGTTTGCAAAATCTTTCGAGGAAACCAGTCCGGGCACTCCAATATTTTTCATTCTATCTCCCGGAGTTAACCCGCTAAAGGTGATCACGAGACATTTTCTCTTCATAATGTCTGTTTTTTATAAATAAAAATTTGTATTTTAGAAATTACACATTATGTTTTAACGCTCGCGTTATATATATCGCGCATAAAAAATATCTATATATTCTTTTTTACCGCGTCATTTTTATGGAAAAAACTTTTTGCGAAAGAAAAATTAGATTCACAAAAAAGAAAGAAAAATATTAGATTCGATTAAAATGCACTTTAAGAAATATTGAACGTAATGGTATTTTTAAACAACGAATATATATATATATATATAACATTCAGGACGTAGAGGATCTAGGTCGCCGTCTCGGTTTTACGTCAGACAATCAAAACTTCCATAACGTGTCTCTTGGTCAAGGGCAAGAAGCAGTCGCCGAACAAGCTATGGATGTAGCGGCCAAGAATGGTCACTGGGTAGTGTTGCAAAACATACATCTAGTTAAAAAGTGGCTGCCGCTACTAGAAAAAAAACTGGAAGTGGCCGCGGATGGTTCTCATCTCGATTACAGAATGTTTATGAGCGCGGAACCGGCTGGCACGCCAGCTGGCCATATAATACCTCAAGTAAGCTAACGTTTTCAAAAAATAAAACAGATATATAAATATACAATTAAAAAGCACGTTGATCAATTTATTACCTATGTCCTATATATATTTTATATGTAAAATTTCTTATATAAATCAACTTAGGGTATTCTGGAATCGTCAATTAAAATCACAAACGAACCACCCACTGGTATGCAAGCTAATTTACATAAGGCTTTGGATAATTTTACTCAGGAAACTCTAGAAATGTGTTCGAAAGAAGCTGAATTCAAAGCGATATTATTCTCATTATGTTATTTTCACGCTGTCGTCGCGGAGCGTCGTAAATTCGGATCTCAAGGCTGGAACAAAATATATCCTTTCAACGTGGGAGATCTAAACATAAGTGTCAGTGTGTTGTATAATTATTTAGAAGCAAGTCCGAAAGTACCGTGGGAAGATTTAAGGTTAGCGTAATTATATTTTTAATTGAAAGTAAAAAATAAAAAAATCTCGAAGATTTATATAATTTATCTGAAAGAACGCAAAATATATACTGCTGTAAATGTGTGGTCTAATTTAAAATTAAATCTTATTATGTCGCAAAAATTAGCAATGCACATTTTTAAAAAGGTATCTCTTCGGAGAAATTATGTACGGCGGTCATATAACAGACGACTGGGACAGAAGACTTTGTGTGTCGTATCTCGAAGAATTAATGCAGCCCGATCTGATCGACGGAGAATTGCAATTGGCGCCAGGTAAACTGATATAAGCACATTTGTTTTCGATATTAATTAATATATAAATACTTTTACGTTAATTAAGTTCAATGTGTATTTCAAGGTTTTTCCGCGCCTCCCAACACAGACTTAATCGGCTATCACACGTACATTGACGAAGCCATACCACCGGAATCTCCGTATTTATACGGATTACATCCGAATGCGGAGATCGGTTTTTTAACAATGACGGCGGAGAATTTATTTCGAACAGTCTTCGAAATGCAACCACGTGACACCGGCAGCTCGGGAGGACAGACTGTTACCAGAGAAGAAAAGGTACATTTGTTTTTTATCCGGAGACGCGTTTTAGCGAAATAAAAAAAAACGAGACTACTCACGTACGGTTTTTACTTCGCGCAGGTGAAACAGGTACTGGACGAGATACTGGAGAAACTGCCGGAGGAGTTTAACATGATGGAAATCATGGGAAAGGTGGAGGAACGAACGCCTTACGTTATCGTTGCGTTTCAAGAATGCGAGAGAATGAATTATCTGACGACCGAGATCAAACGATCGTTGCGCGAGTTAGATTTGGGTCTCAAAGGCGAGCTTACTATAACATCGGACATGGAGGACTTGGAAAACGCGTTGTTCTTCGATCAGGTTCCACCTGTATGGGCCAGCAGAGCTTATCCGTCTTTATTGGGTCTAACCGCCTGGTTCGTCGATCTACTGCTGAGAATAAGAGAACTGGAAACCTGGTCTACGGATTTTGTTGTGCGTATATAAATAGCCAAAATGACGCGATGAGAGATACGTTCTCTTTATGTAACATAGGTGACGTAATCGGCACGCAATGAATTTCTTTCAGTTGCCGGCGTCGGTTTGGCTCGCCGGGTTTTTTAATCCCCAATCGCTACTCACCGCCATCATGCAATCAACGGCCAGGAGGCACGAGTTGCCGCTCGATAAAATGTGCCTTCAATGCGACGTGACCAAAAAGAACAAGGAGGAGTTCACGTGAGTAGAAAAGATAATAAGAACGGAAGTTGAAGTTCTCGCGCGATACGCGCGCGGTTGTGCAAGAGCGGAATGGTTATCAGCGCGTTAACTTAATTCGCCATATACCTAGCCTAGGATTGACTTCCTTCCTGATTTGTTCGCGTCAGGTCAGCACCGAGGGACGGGGCTTACGTTCACGGAATATTTATGGAAGGTGCACGCTGGGACGTCCAAACGGGAATCATCGTCGACTCCAGACCAAAAGAATTATATCCGACCATGCCGGTGATTAATGTACGCGCGATCACGCAGGACAAACAGGATTTGAGGAACATGTACGAGTGTCCGGTGTACAAGACACGCACTCGCGGCCCGACGTACGTGTGGACATTCAATTTGAAGACCAAGGACAAACCGGCCAAATGGACTTTGGCTGGCGTCGCTCTGCTGCTACAAACTTAAATGGAATATTCTCTTGTTATCTAATAACAAGGTAATTGGCAGAAATAAATGATCAAATAGTTAAATAACACCGCGTGAATAAATTGACGCTTGTCACCGATCTTAAATTAATTGTGTATATTGTTGCTTATTCCTCTGAGCGTTGGTTATTTTATTTTTTCACACACACACACACACAAATAATTTATCTATTTATAGATATAATACTTTTAACTGTTTTTTTTCTCTTTATTACTGTTGTACATATAATGTGATAGAGATCTTTTTGTCTTATTTAGCTGTTTTCCGATGTGAAAATTGTTAATTATAAAACTACTGTGTATAATATGTGTATATTGTATATTAAGTACTTGTGTCGTTATGTATATGTATAATTCTATATTTTTGAACTGTTTAAAAAGATGGTTGCATATAATAAATTATGTTGCAAAAAAAAAACTAATAAGTAGTAAATAAAAAATAATAAAACATCAGTTACTTGAGATTTTTGTTCTTTGTGATATCGGGACAAATATGTCTTGCGCAACGCGGATTCGCAATTACGGCGTACAAAGAAAAGAACGATTCGACAGCAAATCCCAAACGGTCGATGGGGTATTTCGAGGTCAACTAATCGACCGAGAGTTAATAAAACGTAGGAGGAGAAACGCGGGACGACGCAGGTCTCCAAGGAGCATCCGGCCCGTTTCATGAAGCAGTTTTCCGCGACAAGGAAAAAGGAGAAATTATCCGTCATTCGTCGAAATGGGAGTTCTCCCTGAAGACTTCGGAGATCAATACCAGTACCCCGAAGTAAACAAAAGCCGATGCCTATCCAGCTACAAAGTGTCGGTCAATTTAATTTAGTGTCGAATCTCGAGACATGGATAAGAGAGAACTGAGAGGAAAAAGAAAATAATATATATATGTACATACATATATATGTGTATATATATATATATATATATATATATACATATATATATATGTATGTATAAGATACATATATCCGCGTATAGAGAACAAAGGTTTCTTTTTCACATATCCACTCACGGTATCGAAATTGTATTATATATCTATATACAATTTTCAATCGTTTTAGTGTATATATCCTTTTGAAATAAAAGCTATTTCGAAAATAGAACAAAAAAACTTGATTAGAAATATAGAAAAGAAAGATTCTGAATGAGAAAAAATTGCGAAATATCTGGATTTATATCTTCGCTCGTGTTCCAGTTATCGAAAAAATTAAAATACAAGGAAATTCCCCCGATTCTGATGTGTGCGTAAACTTAATTTTAATTTAATTTAATTAAAATTAATTTTTTTCACAGCATTTCGATGACATTGATCTGCTTTATTATTGCATTCTGATCACCGTGATAACTCGGAAACGCAGCAAATGCGCAACAACTAATAATTGATCCGCACAAAGTCAACTCATGAATGCTGGCGAACGGAAGGGAGACAAAAAAAAATTTATCGTCCCTTTGATAGCCCTCGGTGATTGGCTCTCGGACACCCTCTCCGTGATACGTGGCGGATCGATCGGCATCCGTGCACCGGCTTCAATCACGGTTTTTATTAAGCCACACCGGACGGTAAAGGGCACGAGGACGGCTCGAATAGCTGATGTTTCGCGTGTCAGACGGAAGCTTCTGATTTCAGAACTTGTATTTCTCCCATGGACTCTTGAAAAGAATCTTCGAGCACCTAATTGGGCATCAGCTACTCGTTAAGCGATATCTCGAAAATTACGTCGGTTTTGTTGTCAAACAAAGAAGAACAAAAAAATAAAGATCGGTAAAGAGCGACTGAAATGTTGTCGATATTCTGTGAAATCGATCGTCTTTTTACGTATTTTCGCGTCGAACACGAAAATATACAATTATAATATTTGAATACAAAAAGTTTTTAAAAAGAAATAATATATTTGAAATAATATTTGAATACAAAAGTTTTTAAAAAGAGATTTTTTTACGTAGAACTGTTAGAACATAAAAGTGTCGTGGAAGCACAATGTGACTTTAATTTTCAATATTTTTTTCACAGAACGCGATTGTGTGTGTTCTCTTCTGTTATCACAAGTTATTAAATACAATATTTTTAAAGAATAAAGTTTGTAAAGTTAAAATTTTTTTTATCGCGTTTGTTTGGGAAATGCGAGCTAATGGCTCCTTTGTTTCGTTTTCTGAATAAAGCGGCTTCTTCCATTTTTCATCGACGTCCGCGTGCGGCTGGGACCGTCGTCCCGTCTTTCTTTAGGTTAATCATTTTTAAAGGACCGACCACAGGTGACGGTGCGTCATTCTCGTCGTGACCGTGATATTAAAGTACGTCAGGCATTCGTAAGAGAAGCCGGGCTTCCCGTCTAGAATTAAATTTCTCAGCCGAGGGAAAGCCGGTTAGACGTACCGCCCCGGTTGCAGAGGGATAATGAAACGCCAGGAAAGCTGTCGCGCAATTTGTTTTGCATACGGATGACATTTTTCACTTCGTATAGAAGAGCGTCGTGACGTTCAGCTCTTGAGTGTCTCTCGAAGCGACCGGTAACGATGCTCTTAATTTTCAACACAGATGGCACGTCCGAAATAAAGTTCTTTACGAAGTGTACGCACGTACTAGATATTTGTTGTACGTATGTACAACACAATATAGAGAATAATCGAAAAACGTTTTGGAATACGTGTGTGTGTGTGTCACAGAATACGTGCGCGATATACATATCTCTCGCTCGATAACGCACAATATGTATAACGCACGTTTTTTTTTCTTTAAACATTATTCTTGAATGTTTAACGTTTACGAGAAAAAAAAAAAAATACGATAATTATATGGCGCGTCGATATTGAAATTTATGGGTTCTTGTTCGTGCGTGAACATTGCGAAAATTACTGATCAAAGTTTTACGCGGCGTCGATATTTATAGGCATTGATTAAACATTTTGCGAAGCGCGAGAAAATATACGAATAGAAGTGAATCTCTCGCGAATGGCCGACACAGCTAACTAGAGAAGAGACCTTTGAGCGCCGACTTTGGCTCAAGAGAGATCTGTAAACCAATTAGTGACGCCTCGTCAATACAGAGGTCTAAGTCGTTCTAACTGGATCGTTCAGTTAAACTGCTTACTTGATTACTACGTTAGTTAGTGTCACTGTAGCCGCTACCGTCGACGTAGCCGATATATACCGAAATTCCGATCACGTAGAGATCCGCCAATTTTTGGTGCTTGGGAGCACTTCGGCTGTCACTAATATAGGAAAGACCAATTTTATGAAGCAAAATTGATTCTCTCTTCTGTAGCGAATTTGTAGATATGTCGTTCGCAATTATTTTTCGATGTGGTTTAAGCAACTCACGTTACGAGTTTGAAGCTGACCGGAATAATAAAAACGCGACATCAGTTTTTATATAATCTATCTACTTCTCTCTAGAATTTCATATAAAACACAATGTGGTTTAGATAATCGAGATCTAACATCGCACAATCGAGATAAGACGAGAGAGATAGGGAATAAAAAATATTCTCTTAAAAAACGAAAAGCGCGATGAAACAGATTTACACTCTCGCACACTCTTGATTGTAAAACTCGTTTTACTAGATCGTATGCGCAGAATACATACATATAGAAAACGTGGCATAGGTAAGAATATAGAGAAGATTTATAAACTCCGGAATTGTAAACTTCAGAGTATATTGCGAACGTATTCAGACACAAGGGTCACTCGATATACGCGCGTATAGCTCCGAGCGTACGTGCGCTCATGCTTCCCTTGGGAGATTACAACAAAAACGCGGGGAGAGATGGTACACAGAAGGGAGAGACTACCAAATTCGAACTACGTGTACTTGTGCCAGATACTTTTTTTTCACCCTATGCACGAATGCCCATGGGGCGTTATCATTGCCTTATTAAATTCCGAAATTACTTTTTTTTTTTTTTTTTTTTTCAAACAGCGGGCACGTGTGCGTATTAGAATATTTACTGGCTTTTATTTATTTATTTATTTTTTTTTAATACTTGTTTGTCGAAGTTTTCTTGGAAATTTCTCAATACAAAAATCTGATTCGTTGAAACAAATGATATTTTTTTTCAACGCGCACCTTTCTCCCATCCTAGCCTCTAGATTGCATATATCTAATAATAACGCGATCAAAGGATAATAACGTATACGCGGGAGCCAGCCTGCTATAATCGCGCGCGCTACTACATTCATCTATACACGAGGATACTTTTCCCCCTTCTTGTTGAAATACACTCGGGACGCGGCGAAGTTATTTGATAGGTCCGAGCCTTGCCAAACAGCGGTCGGTTCGATTGTATACTTTGTCTTTCTCTTCATTCTCTTCTTCATTCTCTTTCCCTATCGCATTAGAAGAACCTTAGTGTTGTCCTAATTAAGGACAGCAACTTAATTATGCTAGCGATGTTATTTGACCAATCAAGGGTGCACTACGCATTGTTGTTGCGCCGAGGTCGTTTTTCCGACAATAGAAAAACGTTGCCAGAACGTTGAGATATTTCATATTCTCGCACATGCGATCAAAGCAACTTTTTCACGTGTGTTTATCTTGTTTTTTATTTTTTTAATTTTTTTTACTAATCAACAGTTTTAATTGCGCGTTCGTATGATCGCTATTTTTATTTCTGCATTGTCCTAAACGTTTCTCATCTTCAGCTATGTCCACGGTAGCAATTTAAATACTCAACGTGTTTGCCGATATTCTTTGTTTTTTTTTTTTTTTTTATTCTCACGTCAAAAATTCCATTAATGCCGGATCGAAAATTTTGGATCGTCTGCTCTTTCTAGGCAAATATCGCTTAAGACTTTAAAAGACAATTTGACATGCAGAGGCAGCTTCTGCTACTTTTCTCTCCGTAAACTCTTGAGCCTTGAATAATGACGTGAATACCTACCTACTTCTTTTGCAGAGATTTAAAAGCATTTGGCAAGATCCCGCCTTTGAATGATGTCTCGTCTTTTATGAGGACTACTTGGAAAAGAAAAATTATCGGTTTTGCAAGTTTTTAAAAAATATTATATAAAGAGAGAGTCAATATACACACAACAGAAAAAAGTGTGATGTAACCACCTTTCAATACATTCAAATATTTTACGGTAGTAGTCCGTATCGAATCTCTCCGTTGTCG